ATAATCTATTATATATATAGGGTGATCCCTCCCGAAACAAACTAAACAACTTTCTTAAATGAATATCTCGCACTAAATTTGTACTACGATGTTGTAATTTGGAACAGATATAATTCATCCAAAAGGCGTTTGTTTGACATAAAATTCATAAAGAAAAAACTCTTTTCCGAAAACGGAAATGGCTTTTATAAAACCACCTACAAACGCAAAATGCACCAGGTTAAAAGTTCTTGTAAGGAGAGTAATGAAATTATTGATTTTTCCCTCTTCCTTTTCTTTTTAAAGTCTAATCTTTCCATCTCCATAAGGTTTACATAATATTTCTTTTCTCTTACAGAGTTTTTAGAAAACATGTGTAAAACTCTGAAATTCCGAGAACCAGTGCTTGTCCTTCTTTGGACTCCACGCATTTTAACACGTCATTTGTAATGTTCAGTGGTGGCCAAACACAATGATCCATCCAACCATGAGACCTCAAAGCCACACACACTGTACGCCTTACAGTATGGAGTTGCTTCTAGAGGCAGAAGGGGGTATAGAGTGACGATGTGCTAATAGATAGCATTTGTGGAGTCAAATATCCTGAAAGGTGAATATGGCCTTTGTCAAGGTACCAAGTGTCATAGAAGAAATGTTCACGTTTTCAACACGACGGCGGAGTCATGAACACATTGCTATCCTCTGATCCACGTCAGCTTCGCGAACAGGAAAATGGTACCGTCGCCGATGAAGATCTACCTTGAGAATGCAGACCATTGAAGTATTAGGAAAGTCCAAGCTGCTGACACTGTCTACGGACTGACATCTCATTGGGCTCATCTACTGAATGCTGCACCCTGGTGACGTTTAAAGGGGGTGCGAACGGTGTATGTTTTGACATGAAGTGGTTATTTTTTTCTGGGAATTTTTAATTCTGATTGTCTACAGGTCCTAACGGATGGACCATTTTAACCTTGACATCTGAGAAGGCCTTTAAAGGACACCAACATTATTTCCGTGCGACGCTTGCAAAATGAGTTGGTGGTGAGGAAGTGTTCAATACAAAAATCTCTCTGCTCTTTACTAATCTTAACCAGGATCTCAACAGGCAAAGGAAACTTGAGAAAAAATCTGCAAACTTCTTTTGGTCTGTTAGACTACTGTAGCTTGCAATATTGCCCAATCGTTGGAACTAGTGCGTTTTGCTACAAACATGGGGACATACCTGAAAATGGGTTGTTGTTTTACGCGCTAGGTAGAGAAAATCTATTCTGTGGATTTATCTAAAATGAATATCAGACAAATTCCTTTTGACTCCAAAATGTTGTGTGCAAATTTGAAACACAAAACTTTTGTTTGGGGGAAAATATAAATAAACAAAAAGTTGTTTAGTTGTTTTTTGTTTTTGTTTTTTAAATCTCCCTGTATAATTATATTATATTATAATATTATATATATATTTTATATTTATATATATATATAAGATATGTTGTGTGTGTGTGTGTATGTGTGTGTGTGTGTGTGTGTGTGTGTGTGTGTGTGTGTGTGTGTGTGTGTGCGCGCGCGCGTACGTGCGTATGTGCTCATGGAAGTGTCATGTTGTTTACGTCTTTCAGAGGAACTGCGATCCCAGTTGGAACTGCAGAAACAGCTGGACATTGACACGATCAAGAAGAACCACGCGGCGGAGATATCAGCTGCTCGGATGGAGCTTGACCGAGCGGTGGAGATCTCCCGACAGAAGGTAAACAGGGGTGAAGGGAGGGAAGAGGAGGAGTGGGAGGAGGGGATGGACTGTGTACGTGTCTACTGGCTTATTTTGTGGACATGTTTTTGGTTTTTGGTTCCATGTGTGAGGGCTGGTGTGGGGGGGAGGGGGTATTTTTTCTTTGATTTTTTTGTCTTTGATCGATATTCGTTCCTATTCTACCTTTGTGGGAGAGGGTTTTTTTTAATTGTATGCGTGTGTGTGTGTTGTGTTTCGGGGGGGGGGGGGGGGGTGGGGGGGGGGGAGGGGGTGATCTATTTTCCCCTTTTTAAAATTTGCTTTTTTTAAAAAACTGAATCATTATGTGTGTCATTGTTTTTGGACAACTTACTTGGTTCTGTTGGCCCGTTTGTTACTAAATATAAATGATTTGAGATACGTCCGACGTAGAGTTGTGACTCATGCTGATGATTCAGATGTCTTGTGTGAAAATGACGTCATTTTTCTCATTACTCTTACTGTCTAAGAGTCAAGCAATGGAAATATCATTCAATGGGTCGAAATTCTTGTACTCATACATACCAACAGCGTCTGTGGCGCAAGAGAAATCCAACTTTTATAATATACATATTAACCGGCATTCTTCTCCCAGTTTGGCATTTTTTACCGACTTAAAAAAAAACATATTTATGTGTGAATTTTACTGAAAAGCGTTGATTAAAGGCACTCATTATGTAAATTTTTAGTTTTCAAGGACTCTTTCGCTATTGGAGTTACCAAACTTTGGTGGCCATTTTGTCGCAGATTTCACCGTCGTCCATTGAAATCAAGCAACCTCACCCCCTTAAATTGCAAATATCTTGACTTCTATTCAAGATACAGGAGTATTCTTTCACTGAAAGCAAAGCAATTAGATAGCTTTCAGATAATACCAATAACTCTACATGCCCAAAAATTTACGAGCGCCTGATTCCACTCCGCGTCGTGACAATATTCATATATATAGATCTATATTTATTACTACAAGTAGGACCCTATGTATGTTAATTGTCCGCTGACATACTAACCTATATCCTCAGTTCCCACTTCCCACATGCATGATTTATCGCTCTGGCGTTATTAGTTTCACCAAAGATTTGTTTCACTGCCAGATCATCTCTAAATATAGCCACATTGCTGAGTCAGCTTTTCTTCCCAGTCACTTTGTCTCGCTGTGCCTCTCTTTACTTTGGGCGGAGTCATTCCCGTGACACAGCCCTGATGACTTGCGTGTAGACCGGCACCCATTGCATGCAGCATCTACGTGTTTTTGCAGGGTTAAGGGAAACTAGTTTATTTTTCTTTTCCCATGCCAACATTTCATTCTTTTTTCTTTTAGTTTTAGAATCGCTGTCTGTGTACTTCTCCTCTATACATAAGCTACATTGGTCAAGCATCTCTTGGATTACATGATTTGTTTTGTTGGTTGTACTAGTCGGATAAAACTTTAAAAAGATAATTAGGCGTAACCCTTTCCATTGTTGTATGTCACTTTCTATGTGTTTAGCTCATTTCGCCCAATGTGAATGGGTACCTGGCCATAGGCAACGACAGATCTTTTCGATGTGGTATACAGTCTTTTATCACCTGTAAAATAGTACTTTGCACTGTAGGCATCCCAGGAAGCCGGGAATGTTCCTTGCTTTTCTAGCAAAGATTTAAGTCTTTGATTCTAGGGTCTGCTTGGGCAATAGTTGTAAAGTGCAAAGAGCATGCTGTAGAGCACGAATGTATGCATTATGTAGAGTGAGTTCATATTATTATTATACTATTATTATTATTATTATTATTATTATTATTATTATTATTGTTATTATTATTTGTATTATTATTATTATTATTATTATTACCGCCAGGTCAGCGAAAAGGGACAGACATCTTTTAGAGCGTGCTCTGTCGCTTAAGGCTGAAATATAGGCAGTCCTTGAGAATCTAGAGAATGACATTGTAGGTTTTTATGCTGGGTTAGGGCTTTATTTTCAACTGGGACGCCTAGCTGTTTGACTTTTTTATCATTCCTTTTTTTAAAGTACATCTTAAAACTTTGCTCTAATCCATATTTTTGGGGTGACCTTATATATAGTAGGGTTCAAATGAAACTTGAAAATGTAATCACCCAATCATCGTGATAAAGCCTTGCACTACTCGCTCATGCAGCATGCAAATTTAACGCTAAATAGATTCATCATCTGACACGTTTATTCCATGTTAACAGACGCCTGAGATATGGCCACTCAAAATTGACCTAAAAAGATCAGGCTTGGCATTTTTTTGTGCAAAATCAAATAAACGTAAAAATGTGTTGGCACGTGTACATCAACATTGGTGAAATGAACATGTCTTGAACATCAAATGAAAAGAGAACATTATTATGGTTTTTGCAATGAACAGCATCTTCTGATGACATTGTTAAACGAATTAGAAAACAGAGTAGTCACCAATACCATGCAAAACGTGAACTTAACATTACATAATATTATGCTCATTAGTATGATTTTGTTTTTGTTTAGGAGCTATAGGCTTCGTGTAAAGCACAAAACACCTTTTTTTTTTTTTTTTTGCATATGGACTGTGTTAGTTAGGTTTTGATCTATCCATCTGTCAGTGAGCAGCAGAGGCCACGTAATTGCCCTGGTTTGTTGTGGTCTAGGGTGGAATGAACAAAGCCGCCCTCGTGAGGATCACCGGTTGGCTTGGTTTCGTAGACTACTTCATGCAAGTGCTGGAACGTCGTATCGAACAACAACGCTTAATTTTGTCATGGTGCCATTCAAGTAGTTATCTCCATGCATGGCAAGGCCAATGCCACCAGAAAATTCAGGAAAACGTAGTCATATCAACGTTGGGGTGGCCACCATTAAATAGCCCCGATACGAGTCCAACAGGTATGTGAAGTCCCATGAAACGGCAGCTGAAGAAAATGGACTTTGCTCCCTTTTCAAACCCTTTGCTGGGGACTCTTGTGGCCTAGAGGTTAAGGTGTTGGCCTCTCATTCAAAGGTCCCGGGTTCGAAACCAGGTAGCGACCGAACATTTTTCTTCTCTAAAATTATCTCCTTTCCCATCCTCTTGCAATGTTCTGTCGTCTGCTTTCGTCTTCTCTTTCTGCCCCCACCCCCTCACCTCCTTTGCCCTTTCCTCCTAACTCTTTCTGCAGCCTATCTACTGCTACTCCTTGGCCCCTTCTTACTGCAGTCTTTCAGCCATACCCTTGATCTTTTGGTAGGAAAGATCTACACCGATAGCCTTCTCGGCCAATGGCGAAAAATTTCGGAGGGCCCGTGTGCAAGTTGCGCACCTTAAAGATCCCTTGGTGGTCTAAAATCAATAAACGTAGGCTTCAGCCGCCATTTGGGCAAACTTCAAAATTTCCTACCAACTGAAAAAGTTTATTGTGTCCGGCGTGCTCATATGACCTTATGCAGTTGCGAGCGCCGTATAACACTTACCAAAAAAAAAAACCCAGCAAACCCCTTTGCTTGCAACTCCCTGTGACATTTGAAATGAAATGACAGATAATTATATCAAAATTTTAATAGAGCCCATGCCCAAACGGTTCTAAAACCAATGGCGTCTAAGCAAAATAACAATGAACACAATAATTAATGTTAAATCCAAGTTTTGCATGATATTTGTGATGGATCTGCTTTGCGTTTTATCTGAAACTAACGAAATAAAATATTGTTTATTATAAAAACGGAATTCTCCATTCATTGGCTATGCAATGCATGTCCATTCTATCAATACTGACTGTTCAATATCCGCGCGAAGACACTTTTACGTTTCTTTGATTTCGCACATTTTTGCCAAGCCTGATATTTTTTAGGTCAGTTTTAAGGGACCATATCTTAACATAGATGAGATAATGTCTGATGATGCAGAATTTATTTAGCTTTATATTTGTGTTCTTCATGCGTCGGTACTGTAAACGCTTTAACACAATAACTGGTCGCTTTTAAGCACAAGGGGGCTATCCCGAAAAATGCTGTTTTGTGAAAATCGAAGGTAAAGTTTTTGCCCCTTGTTCGGTTTCTTTAAAGGACAAGGAGAGTTTTGTCTGGGACCAAACATATGTAAACACACACCAATAAAACCAAATTTGTCAAAAGTAGAGCAATGCCCACTTTTGGTGAAGGTCAAGATTTCTGGAAACCCCAAAAATCTAGGTAAGCCCGCTTGTCTTTAAAAGCAACCAATTGGGTGATTACATTATCAAGTTTCTTTTGGACTCAACTGTTTGCTGCTACTGCCTGAAACGTCGCCAATGTCGGGTGTTAGTGACTTAATGTGACATACAGTCGTGATTCCAGCAGTTTGGAAAGAAAGAAGTAAAAGAACAAAAACGAAACAAAACAAGGAAGAAATGTCAGGGTTATTTTTAAATATTGTTTGTTACACCAGTTTTATTTTCGCTTTTTTCCTTTCCTTTTGTGTGGGTCTTGCTTTTCACGGACTCAGGGCAACCAATTTTAATGTTTAGTTAATCTCTGCTGGGATACTAACTTGGCGGCTGAACCAAAAAATAACGTTTGGAAATTATGTAAAACTATGTACTGTTATTTTCGTTGATGCTGAGGCTTACTTTCTATTGAATGTTCTTTGTTGACGCAGATGGTGCTGTAGATTCATTACAGACTTGATGTGTGTTGTGTCTGTTGGAGTCTGAATCCTAGTGAGGTCAAACAAATTAAAATGTTAATACATTTTTCACAGTGCTTCTGTCTCTGTTTATGTATTATTCTCTGCCTGATGTCCCGTTGAGGGAGAAGGTGCTTTTTGTCGTGAAATGACCTATAAAATAGTGTTTATTACCTTTTTTTCTGTCTCTTGACCGGCGCCTTTGGTGGATTGTATGGTTCGATGCTTGCAAAACAAAGCAAAGATAGTGTAGGATCTTTGAACAAAGTCAAAAGTTCACTACCCTATGCCTCCCTGGATTGCAAACAAACATGGTTAAGGGACATAGACAGGGGACAGGAGTGGGCATGTAGTTAACCTAAATTTTATCGATGGAGGCGTATCTGACTCGTGTACTGTTCCCAGGATCGTGACCACCAGATGCAGATGGAAGAGCTGCGTACAGAGATCGGGCACAGGGAGCAGCACATCAAAAACCTGCAGGAACAGCTCCGGGCGCTTCAGGCGGAGATAAACAGGCTCAAACAGGAGATTGACTCCAAACTGATGGAGATCAAACAGGTGCACAAGCAGGCCAGTCAGCAGCTCAGGTGGGCGGCTTCTTCATCCTATTGTTCTAGTGTTTCAGCGCCTCTAAAATGGTGGCTTGCATCGTATGCTCCTTCCAGGAAGTTGAAAATGGTTTTTTTTAATGCTGTCAGGTCTACTGGGGTATTGATGATATTTTAGATTGTTATTTGTAAAGCATATCATATATAGAGTTTGTTATTGAGCGTGAATTTGCTCAATACACCTGCTATTTATTACTATTATCTTCTTTATGTACGTTCAGGGGAGATGCAATTTTATGTGGTTGGCCAGCTCTGCGGCGCAGCTCTTTCAATTGAAATATTGTAGTTTGTCGGGGTCCTCTTGACTCCATCAATGAATCTGTTATTGAATATGCTACAATAATTTTATTGCAAAGCACATTTTATAGAGCATGCTATAAAGGGTGGGTATGCGCTATATGAATGCTATTATAATTATTTTCCTGTGGCGTCAGTAGGCCTAGTCTAGTGGTTAGGCCACCGTACTCGTAATTGCGAGGTTGCGAGTTCAGGGTTTGGGTTCGAGCCTCTGGCCCGATGTTGGTTGTTATTATTGTTATTATTATTATTATCAAAATTTATCCCGTGTCCTGATTTTGGTGCCCGTATTTGTTGGTTACGTAAAAAGAATGTAATGACATAGTGCAAATTGTTATGTTTTCTAGAGAAACGAAACAAGGGAAAGGGGAATTGTTAAGTCGGTAATGATGATGATGATAATGCTGATGATGATGATGATGAGGATAATGATGATGATGATGATGGTGGCGATGGTGACGGTAATGGTAATTGTGATGGTGATCATGAGGATGATTATTTATCATGTTGGCGGTGATGATGTTCTGATGTAGGAAATGACATGCGTATTAGTCTTAGGGTTAAGTTTGTTTGATGCTTTCTCTAGATCCCCGCCAGGCTGTCCTGGGGGGCAGGACACAACCCTCATTCCCAACTCCTCGCATAGAGTGAGCAAAAATTTGGAAATAATTCGTCATCTTCATCCCTTGCATTTAATAAAAGTATGCCGAAAAATCACATGGGGGCCGCTTCTAAGTGATGACATTGTTAATGTGTTTGTTACCCTTCGTCTATGCTTTCATATTTTCAAAACTGTGAAAGGAATGGAGACAATAATCTTTGTAAAGATTAATTTTCCAAGTCAATGCAGACTTACTTGTGTGCTTACAAGTTATCACTTTCGTCGTTCGCAACCGGTCCCGAGGCACTTCTGTGATCGTCGCTACAGAACACTTCTGTCAACATCTTTCCTCCCCACCCTTTGAAAAATACTTTTTTTTAAAAATTAATTAATGAATCCAATTATTGATAATGTATCAGTGAATTAATTTATCATTAACAACTTCAGGTGGTTGAAGGGTGTCACTGGCATGTCCAAATTCGTTTCTTTCTGTTTCTGGTTTGTTAAATCGCTTTTTTCCCAGGACTGAATATCTTATTGTATTGATATGCTTCTAGATCTCTTTACTCAGTCTACACGTCAAACTTTAGCTACTCTACTATTTTTTCCACCTGCCTTTATGGCAGTAGCCTTTAATCTGCTATTGAATGACTTTCTTATGATCAAGTTGTTGCTTTTTTACAAGAGGTTTGGGGGGGGGGGGGTTAACGGATTCTTCCCTGTTGTCATATCCTGATGGGAGCATCAGCCATCGGCCAGCTATTCAGATGCGCTTAGCCCAAAAATTTTGATTTTAAAAAATATTTTGCTTTTTCTTAATAATCTATGATATCGGTTGCTTGTTCTCAGGAAGTCTTTCTCAAAATTAAAATTCTGAATGTTGGAAAATGCAAGAAAAACACTTTAATAAAGCACAATCTTGATTAAAAGAAAAATGAAACTGGGTTTTTTTTTCCTCTGCTGGGCTTAGAACAGCTGATCTGCTTGCCAGTGATGTCTTAAACACTGGATTGTCTTCATGCTGTTGAGATTACAGGACAGAGGGAATTTTTAAACCTTGTATTGTGATTAATTATCAGGAAATGTCAGTACTTTTGAGAACGTTTGTGAGTATCTGTATGACAATTGTGCACTAAGCTTTGAGTTAACAATAGTGTTGATTTTATGGCTTTGAACTGAAAACAATACTTAAAGTATCTTGTCAATATCTTGTGATCTCCTTCACTGCTCATTTATTATTTTATAGATCTGTGTTCTAAGTATAAGCTTCCGTATTTTCTTCCACTTTAAAAGCCAGTGCATTCAGTGAAGTGTTTTCGTTTTCATTTAATTGTTTCAATGATTGATGAATATTTTCTTTTGTTTGTTGATGTTGCTACAGTTCATAATCTCCATTTTGTTTTTGGTTTTGTTTTTTTTCCCCTAACTACGACACCTTTCTGAAAAGCATTGTTTTTCACACTGAGCATTTTTATGTGGGTGTCTTTGGTGTCAGGGTGCAAGAAGACAAGTTGACCAAACAGCAGCAGCAGGCACTTGACAATATGAGCGCTGACCATCTGCGTGAGCAACAAGAAATGCTTGGGCAGTTCACCGCAGCACAGGAGATGCTAAAGGACAAGATATCAGCCCTACAGATAGAGTGAGATCCCAAATTTAAAGTCGTTCAATTCAGTTCTAATTGATGTTGCTGCTTTTGTCCATGAAGTTGAGGTTATAGAGGCAGTGCAAGTTTGTTCACTTGACATTTTTGACAGGTGAAATGTGTATGAGTTGATATTTTTTATTCAGGTTAATCTTTTAAGAAAGTAATATACAATTTAAAATCTATACCTGTCCACACGGTTTTATTAAAAAATCATTCTGAAAATATGCAGACTGAGCCCAAAAATGTGAAATTATGCGATTTTAACAAAGAATGATAAAGGAAAATAATCATAAATTATGCAAAAATTTATCAAATTTTGCAAAATTATTTAGGGTGCTTAAAACCATGGGGACAGCTATACCTATCTACGTATGTATTTTAACCATTCCTGTTTAGCCACAGAAATTTCCCAGAAGGACAATAAAGTATTATCTTATTAATTTTTATCTTATCTTACCATCCAACCTTGATGTCATACCAACCCCATCTTTTACTTGCTCAGGCTCCATGAGGCACAAACACGATATGAGCAGAGGGAGTCACGACCGGACGACTTGGAGCTTATTGAGTCGCTGCGCTGTGAGGTTTCTGAGCGGGAAACAAGAATCAAAGACTTAATTGTGAGTTGGGGCCTGATAATGGACAGTTAAATGCCTATTTTCTGTTCTAGACATTCTGTTTAGTTCTATACACTTGTTAAATTATAGCTTGTATTTCTCAGAACTTTTCTTGTGCATTAAGAGTTCTCTTGCCCTAGTTTTTAAATGAGCTAAAACTGGTGTGTTATTAAGTTATAGAAATGGAATATGACCTGCTTCCTACTACTGATACAAGCAAAAATGTTGCATGTCTCCTTATTAAGAAGTCAACTGGTATTTTGGAGGGAACAGGCTGGAAAAGACAGTTTTGAGTTATTGTGTCAGTAGCACAGGGTTACATGACTAGGCCCTATAGATATGACTTTAACTACTTAAAACTGTAAAAATTTCACTGACTGCATATGTGACATCAATACTGCTCTATGGTAGCTATTCAGTATATATATATAATTGCTTTCGGTACATGTATACTCTGTAAGTTTGTGAAATATAATTTGTTCCTCCCTTGTATTCTAATTTTGAACTTCTGTGTGTGAAAAATAAAGTTTGTGTCCTACTTTGCTACAAAGACCGGTAGGGTGTGACTTTTAAAAGGTAAAATCAATATATGTGTCCCTACCGGTCAATATCAGTCACATGAAGGAAATTTCAAAACTGAGTTAGCATTATTTTTTTGTAACTATCACCTTTTCCCTACAATTTAAAACAAGAATGAAGTAAATATGACCATATTTGACGAAAATACAGAACTTTTAATTGTGTGAGGTGAGGAAACACGAAAAGGAGAAAATGGCCTCCGAAGCTGAGCAACATGTTTCCATAACAATAGGGGTCTTACAATTGAGATAGAGACTTGAAATTTAGCAGTTGTCTTGGTTATGCCACTACAAGGTAGCATACAGAAGTAGAAAACTATTCATTCTCAGACAAAAAACTTATGGACAAAACAAAATTTTCACGAGAATGGACTTCACGTCAAATGCAACAAAATATTAGCATTATACTAGGTACCAGATACTAAATTTCCAAAGTAACTGTGTGTCAAATTCATCTGTTTTGTATGAAAGGCCTATGTCTCATGAGAATTTTGGAACCATACTTTTCCCTCTCAGTCAATGTTTAAGAGAATGGCAGCTGTTTCAATTTAACATAATATTGCTGAAGTTGCTAACTGGCTGCAACCCCATGATTGACAGATAATAAAAGAGTACCAAGTGCTCCAAACATCTCTACATTGACAGAGTACAATCATTATAACAAGGAAATGAAGCCTAATTTTTTTAAAGATTGAGATCATTACAAATCTGTATTTTATTGCCTCAAACACGATGATCTGTCGTTATTTCAATAAAAACACCAAGCGTTGTCTCGGCCGGTGCCGCATCGGTCCCCGCTGCGAGCGAGTCGGGCCTATACTGTAGTATGCTGAGTGCTCCCCGGAGTTTCGCGGAAGGATTCATGCGAAATAATTCCAACCCGATGACTTTATTCTAATATACAAAGTACTGTTCTTTGTATTGGTACCTTTTTAAGCCAGTATTTTACACATTTTGGGTTAAAAATAATCTTTAAAAACTTACAGCTTTTTTCAAGGTTTTCTATCCAAACGCCAAGACCAAAAGTAATAACCACGGGAAACCAAGCTCAAAGCTTCCGCCAATGAAAAGACAGTATTTAATCATCAATCTTTCTGCAAAGCATTTGAATGCACGGGTGTCAATTTTGAATCGGCCGACCTCGCATTCCGACAGCGAGGGGCTTCGCTTTCCTCGGCGATTCTCTAGCTCCAAATAATTGGATATACAAACAACTTACGCTATTGTAATGAAGAAAGTCTGAACTTTTTCAAAGTGTTCAGCATTTAGTGTTTTATAGCAAAAGAGCAAGGAAACAGAGATCTGAATTACTCCCATTTTACCAAAACCACGCACTTGGAAGGCCGCGAGTCGGCTTACGTACCGTGTTTACGCTACCTAATTATACGTTTGCGATAGCACCATAAACACAAGAAAAACACACACCATAAACCCACTCATTCATTATTATTAAGCACACACACTCACACACACACACACACACACACACACACACACACACGCACACACACACACACACACACACACACACACATACAACACACACACAACCACGCATGCACACACACATACAAACACACCAACACACATACACACACATGCACATAGACCACCTCGGTGGCCTCTTGGTAAGGAGTCCGCTTTGAGAGCTCTACAGGAAGGTTAATTAATTTTTTTTAAGCACTAAAACACAATAAAAACAAATTTTTAAAGTCAGTCCAAATGTAAAACTGAAAGATCAACTGACGATAACAGCTAGCAAGACACACCCACACAGTCAGCTGTTTACATAAACGAAAGCTTGAAGTGATCTAGAAGTTACCGTTTTTACTAGTCAGAGTTGTTTACATTTCTGACCATTCATGCTCGAAAAGGGGTCAAAATCTAAAAATAGTTGCGAATGAAGAATATTGTAGCCAAGATACTCCACTAGTGGAGAATCTTCGGTTGAAGCAAAGGTGGCAGTGAGGTAATGGTTCTAAAAATAATCTCACAGCTACACACAAGCTAGGTCCAAATTCCTTTATCTTGTCTCCTAAGCTCACAACAAACCACACGCACACCTCCAAAAATGAATCAAAATAAAATATTTATAGTCGATCATAGTTGTTTATTTTTATCTTAAAAGAAGCAGAAGGCATCAAACTTTCAATAGATCCCAAAACAAAAATTTCATGAAAAGTCGCCTTTTTGTCTTTCGAGCCTCGTAGCTGATAATAGTACTTATATTACTATTTTTCATACTTTTAGCATTTGTAATAATGCTTATATTATTGGATTTGAGGCATAAAGAACAGAAACCTATAAAAGAAACTGTGATGTAAAGAAAAACAGGTAGGCCTACCTAGATATTGTCTTTTGCTCACCGCACTGTGTGATAAGTAGCCTACTATGATTTTGTTTTGTATGACTAATGACTTACTTACATTTGTTTAGTTAATGTTGTAGTTGTTTCTGTCTTGGGAAGAAGAATTCTAATTATTTTTTAAATATTCTTTCAGGATGAAAAGAGATTCTATCAACTTGAATTGGTGAACAGAGAGACAAACTTCAACAAGGTTTTCAATTCATCTCCTAATGTTGGAGTCTTAAACCCTTTCAGCAAGGTATGTCTTAGTTTTAGTGCTCTGTTGAACTCTGAAATGAGGGGGTAACTACATTAATAAAATCCTTTACTTACTGTTTATGATATGCTTACTGTTACTTCAGATTGGTACAGCTTTTTTTTGCTTTTTTTTCGGGGGGGGGGGGTGGAAGGGAGGATTAAGTTTGTCAAGAGAGTTGTAAAGACTTTCCAAATAACCTCCTTTTAGACATATCAACTGCTCAGTGTAAGACTCCGCCATATGCCATTTTGAAAGTGAGGTAGGCCCAACAGTATAACATGGATAGATTGAGCACAGAGACTCGAAATCACGCATCTGTCGAACTGTGTCTGCTGTCCCTGGAACTACAGAGGCCGGTCTCAATTAATTCAAGCTATCCGTGTTTTACTGTATTTGTATAATGGAGATTTACATTGAGCAATCAATATATTGACAGTACTGCTACCAAATATATTTTTGCTGTTGACAAGCACATGAGCTAAACGTTCTATTTTGAAGTGGTGCCCATGAAAATGACCTTGTTTTGAGAGAGATGTTTATTGCTCATAGATTTTTAAAGAAATTTACACTGAAAAAAAAAAAAAAGAATTCCTCATACGTTTGTTCTCTTTTCTTTTTCAACCTTTATTGTACTTCCTTCTGCAGCCTAAGAAGAAGGGTGAAAAGGGCCCTAGTCTAACCATGGGAGCTGCTGGGAGTGGAAGCCATCAACGTCTGGATCCCCTCCCAGGCTCACCCCTGCATGATGGCAAACTTAACCCTACCAAGCCGCTGCCGCAGCCAAACTTCACAAAAAAATTTGTGAAATGATTGTACATCAAAATCTGTGAAATAACTGACATAGATGTAAACTTAATGCGCTCCTGTGATATCAAGTGAGGGAACTGGAAAGAGACATCTGTATTTTGTTTGTTACTTTTCTATAAAGTAGTTTATTCAAGAAACTGGACATGTTAAATTTTTTTCATTTCTGAAGTGACAGTATGTGTCCTGCCCTTTGGTATATGATGTCAAACATCTGGGTTTTTTAACTTTGTTTTACTTTCCGGAATTCTTCTCCTGCCCAGATGCCACCCCCAACTGATAGAAAAAACACTTTAACCATTTCCTGTTCACATATTTAGCAAGCAGTGGGGGCCCAGTTGTTCAGTCTTTGTGCTCAAAGCAGCCTTCCAGTGTTCTCAATATTTTGCACTTTGTAGATTTAAAAGTTATTTCTGACTGTTGAGGCCAGTGTAACACACATTCATTTCAAGAAATGAAAACTAGGCTAAAGTAGAATGTCAGTAACCTTTTTCTATCATAACCTCTGGAACATGCAAAGTGCCTGCCCAGCTGGTTTGTGCTGGTAAGCACTAGCACTGCATTTTTTGTTCCTGCTGGTGTTGGCCTACAAAACAGGAAAGGGTTCATGCAGCAGCTGGATGGTCAGAACAGATTTCTGATTCAGCCTTTATTGATATCATTAATTAATAGTCCAGGCCTTAAAGTTTAAGTGTTTCAGAGTGTTATAGGGCCCATTGGGGTAAAATGAATTGCCTGTTTTCAAACAGAATATGTGTGATATAACTACAATGTATTATTATTGTTGTTATTTCAAGAAATGATACTGCTGATTGTTGATTATTACTCTTTGGTATGAGGCTTTTTGTATAAAATAAAAGGCTGAGTTGTCTAACACCCAACTCTTGACCGTATTAAATAACCGTTAAATAAAGCATATTACGAGTTTGGCTTTTATATATTTCAATACTCATATCAACCTACTGTTGTGTGCCAATGCCCTTTGCCAAAAGAATCATGAAGTTTAAGTTTTTACCCATTTTTGTGAACTGAACATGGCGATAGACAAAGATATTTTTAAAATGACAGAAATATGACTAAGGTCTGTAAACTCATACTGTAAATTAATTATAATTGATAGTCAAATTTATGAAAATGATCAAGATTTTCAGCAGTCCCCAGTTTCCGGTCCCAAAATTTATCAATTTGGAGCCCTATCATCAGTTTTGGTTTGCTGTGCTGACTGTGGATTGATACTATAGTATTAAGCTAGGAGATTCCCATTGATGTGGTAGTCAAGAGATAAGATCATGTATTTGCAGTGACGTGATGGCAGGAGACACTAGTAAAAAGTATCAGTTTTCTGCATCTCTTTCTCCCTTAACATATGAGAATTTTGTGAAGCATTTTCTGCATTGACCAGCACTTTGATAGCAACTCAAAGTTTGCCTAACAGACTGACAGGACAGTCTTGTATTTTTTACTCTTTGTGGTAGCATATTCTAGTTATTCGACAAAGCGTGAAGATGCGCAGTTTTTAAGTAGGCTATAACTTCTCTATTCATACCTATTTTCCAATTTTGTTTGATATTTTTAATATCTGAAACTTAGAAAGGCAAATAAATACATGCATGATATGAAATATGCCTGTTTGTGGATTAGACTTTTTTACCATTGTTCGAAATATGTTGCAACATCGCCTTTGGGCTGTTGCTAATCAGACATAATATGTCCGCTACATCCTTAAAGAGTAAAAATCATCTTTCTAATCTTGAGAGATACTGTTGTGCATGACTACACCACTAAGCATATAACTTCTTTGAAGTTCTCTTGAGTGATGCATATCTCACCCTCAGTCCTTTTTTTCCTCCGTCATAATTTTCTATTTTTATACCGTTTGTTGAAAGACGCCAATGGTAGCTACAACTTTTTTTTGTCTCCCACTCTCCCCTTTGTTTTGTGTGTCTTTCATTGGTTTTTTCCTCTTATTAATGGTAGTCCTTATAAATCTGATTTTCACATCAAGTACAAAAATGGTGTATGGGTGTATGTTATATGGGTAAGCTAAATTAAGCTGTAGAATTGACCATAGGAGGTGCTTTTGTAGTGGTGAGAAAGGTCTCGCTATCGATCAAAGTTGGCCCTGTCAGGCTGGGTCAAGGCAGCCTACCTCTAAATGATATGAATTGTGTCAAGTAAGACCCAAAGCATTTACCTTTTCAAGAATGCAAGAATATATTCCAAGATGAATACAGCAGTTAGATACTTGCTTCTCATACATTCAGTCCAGTTCCCAGCATTAACCAAAGGCTAGAGTAGTCCAACAGGATAAATTCTCGATTAGCATTGATGAAATCAAAACTATCTCTTTTCTTTACGTTCCCCTATTAGATCTCAGGGGCAGTCGACTGCTGGCTCTTCAACCTGCAGCGCAACTGATTTTTACGTTTGTGACCGTTTTCCCAACTTGTAGGGCCCATTGCCTTCTGGCAGCCTTATTCCAATTTCAGAGGTCTCTATACATATATCGTTCTTCTGTGCTGCCTAGAATATTCTCATTTTGGGAAGGAATAAATTTTGAATTTTCTTAGTGGTGGCTGAAGCCAACTCTTTTCGATTTAAGGCTTAAGGACCACCATGTCTTTATGATCTTTAACACGCACAACTAGCAGACGGGACCTCCGAGATTATCCCTTATCTGAGAAGGCTAGGTGTTTGATCTTACCTACTCTAAGATCTAGGATGTGGATGAAAGACAGCAGTCAGAAAGAGCCAGGAATAGCAATTGAAAGAGTCAAGAGTAATTGAGAGTGGAGCTGAGAGATTGTAAGTGTGTGTGGGGGGGGGGGGAATCTAGAGAGAGAGAGAGAGAGAGTGTGAGAGAGAGAGAGGGAGGAAAGGAGATCAAAGGAGAACAATGTAGAGAAAACATTTTTTTCTTTGCAGTCAGGTTTTGATCCCTGGAACTTTCGACTGAGATGCAAACACTGTATCTCTAGACCACTTTTTTTTAGAGCTCTCCTAAAACTCTCCTAAATTAGTCTCATATCGATTTTTAAATTACACTACATTTGATAAGAGCAATTTGAAACCTACTCGCAAGCAATAGGTATGGCGAACACGGTGTTGGAACATGAGGAGCTAAAGACAAATTCCTTGCAGATTTATTAAATGCTCATGTTGGTCAGAGCTCACTTTCACTTATACCTGGTACTCAACATGATTGATGGAATTGAACGTTGACCGAAAGAAATCAGTTGATGTGGGGATCTCTGTTGCATGTATAAGATTGTTTAATCCCTTGTGCCCACGAGCTTAATGGGCTCATCATGACTTCAAAATTAGCCAAAATATTGGTGGTTTGTTTGATTGAAAATTTAAAGACACTTAGAAGTTGCGAAGGTAATATTGTCTTTTAGGATTCGGAAAATCAGGGTGGGGGGGGGAGGGGAATGGGTGAAATAATTGCCGGGGTTGAGCTTGCTACCTCTCAGACAGCGAGATAGTCTTCAGTTTTAAGTAATAATCTCACATTATAAGATGTTACTTTCATGTATGTTAGTTTCTGGAAAACTATGAGCCAAATACTTTCTGTATGATGAGATTTTTTTGTTAATGCTGATACCTTTTAGACTGAATTAATTTTGCATATATAGGCAAACAGTTGTTATTCAAAACATTGAGAAATCATTCCTCAATTATTTTTTTTCTCAGCTTTCAGAAGTTCCCTTTCAAATACAATACCTATACCAGTGTGATGTGTCGTGTCAGACTAAACATGTTTCGATTTTTTTGTTGGATTTCTGCCTAAGTGAAGTGTAGATTAATGATCTATGTTCTTTCGTGTCCTATCTAAATTGGATACAGAATTAGATTTGAGGATGAAGCAGTCTTTTCTTATTTGTGTTCAAATAATTTACTCTGCTTATTTTTTTTTGGTGTAAACTTCTCTTTTGTAATAACGGAACATTATGGTTAATGTACAATCCCTCCGTACTATTTGGGTATATTTTTCGTGGTTGTATTATAAAATATTGGTTACACATGATGTCGGGCTTCTCAATGAATGTAGATTAAGTATGAATAAATCTGTAAATTTTTTCCAATAGAATCAACCCTTGCCTTGGCTTTTTTTCTTACAAATGCTGTGTTTGTTGACCACTGAGGGGATGTGAATGTAAAAAGTTTGTATTTATCTTGTAACTAGTTTTTTGTAATTTCAATCACTTTCTAATAGCTCACACTAAATTTTAACAATGAATTTGGGACCAACATTGAAAAATCTCATAACAGGACTTATCTTTATGATAGTTCTAGAGCGGAGGGGAACCACAGTAAGTAAGTGTGTGTAGTGCTAGTAAATAAAGATATTGCAAAAGCATTTTTTTCCCACATGACAATTTTTGTCATAACTGCTTTCACTTCCACTTGAAGATGAATACAGTTGATGGCGCACTTCTAAAACGTCCGTAATAAATTTAGGCCTCCTAAATTTTGGATTCCAAAAGACAATCAGAGAACGGTGAATGACTGTATTCACATTGTTAAATAATAATTCACAGAGAAATTAAAGCTATTAGAAACCTAAAAAAAAAAAAACTAACGGTATGAAAAAAATTGTTTCAGATTTTATATAAGAAAACGGCACAATACTATAGTATAAACCAAACTAGAAGCCAGCACCAATGTTACCGCCTAGTTATGTGTTGTTCTAAAGAGAGGATGAAGATAAAGTTTTCTTCTGTTTGTCAGAAATTTCATTATATTATTATCGTTTGCTACTTTGAGATGTGAAGCCGTTAAGGTCAATATCTACCAGTGGTCCCCAACCCCCAGCTCTCCCTTCGGTGAATGACTGTATTCACATTGTTAAATAATAATTCACAGAGAAATTAAAGCTATTAGAAACCTAAAAAAAAAAAAAACTAACGGTATGAAAAAAATTGTTTCAGATTTTATATAAGAAAACGGCACAATACTATAGTATAAACCAAACTAGAAGCCAGCACCAATGTTACCGCCTAGTTATGTGTTGTTCTAAAGAGAGGATGAAGATAAAGTTTTCTTCTGTTTGTCAGAAATTTCATTATATTATTATCGTTTGCTACTTTGAGATGTGAAGCCGTTAAGGTCAATATCTACCAGTGGTCCCCAACCCCCAGCTCTCCCTTCCACAAGATTCAAGGGGTCAGGGCGGAATACCGAGTAAATGTAACTAATCAAACTTTGGCTGTAAGGTTTTTTGGCAGTTTCGGGGGCGAGGTTGCAGTGTATTAAACACATTTTGTTTTTGTGGAATGTTTACTTTTGTTTATTGTCATTGGATTAGTTGTTTAAGTCTCGAGTTTTTCTTCTTTTTGTTTTACTTTTTGTGGGCAGGCTAGGCCGAAGGTGGGGGGGGGGTTGTAGTTACAACTGCCATAATATGCATCACTACAAAACAAACCAAATAGTAGTTGCACCACTGAAGAACGTAATAAAATTGTTCAAACATATAGAGATTGCAGTGACTGACCCCTCAGCATGAATCTATGGAAAAGGTCATATCTTCTCTTAAAATTCACGTGGGGACATATACTAGAAGGTGTTCATTGTTCATCGTTGTTTCAAAGATACACCGGAACACGACTACGACCGGGTCGGAAAATCAGGCGAGTCCGAACCCCAGCAGGCGTGTGAAACCCTGATTTAGAAACATACAAATAAAAGACAGTTTAGCTTAGCCAGCAACTGGTGTCTGCCCCCTAATTGGCTTTTGTTTTTGTTTGCCTGCCATCAGGCGGATAGCGAATTTTTGTCTTGGTTACCATTTGTAAGCTACATCGTCCCACATTTTTGTCAGTATATTTTTAGAACGTCTATTTAACTAATTTTAGGCAGTTTTAAGTCTTCTTTAAAGAGAAATAGAGTTAAAGATTGACTGGTATCATACCATAA